TAAATCCTTTAAAAAGGTAAAAAATAGCGCCAAGTTCAACCCGGGCGCGTTCAAGTTTTTTGTTACGCGTTTTTTTTCTTACATATCAAATTTCTTTTATATTTTATTTTTATATAAACACAAGTACAATAATTCAATAAAATTTTTTTTGGCAACTACAAATTGACATTAATTTTGGATTGATAACATCTTTTTTCACCTTTGCAAAGTTTCTTTTCTACTTCATATAATTAAAAGTTTGTGCCAATTTTTTATATCATGTTTTTTGTAGAAATAATGAAACGATTTTTCAAATAAAAATGAACTACAAAATAAAATGTATTTCAATGTAAAGCTCTTTTTTATTTTATTAAATTAGAAGTTGGCGCCAGTTCTTCATATCACATCTTTTGTACTAATATGAAATTTATTATTAAAAAGACTTTTGTAGATGGAAATTTTTGTATAAAAATTCTTTCTTTTACATAAATAAGAAAAAACGGGCGTGTGAACTTGGTGTTATTTTTACCTTTTTTTAAAAAGGTAATTTTATTAGAATATCACTATTTTTTTAGTAACAAATAGTATTTATTATTTAGCATATTTGAAATTTTTTACTTTATATATACTAGAAAAACAATCAGTATTCAATCATTATTTTTTAATAATCTTTTTAAAAAATATATACATATTTTTTGCTCCTCTAGGCCATTTTTTCTTGTTAATTTGCGCATCATCCATGTCTATCCATCCATTAGACGTTTCATCTCTACATATACTTGTATAATGACCATCTTCAATAAATGATCCATGATGAAAAATGGCATTCATTACCTTATAAAATTGTCCCCTGACTGATATTGTAGTTGTTGGTATTGTACGCAAATTAAATTGATCTATTTTTATTAATTTACCATTTTGTTCTGAAAATAATTGTAAATAAATGATAAGTGTTAATGTTAATTCTTTTTTAAATATTGTATCTTTCCCTGTACAATTTTTATATAGGTCATGAGAGTGATACTACTTCAAAAAGGTAATATTTAATAAATCATTAAGATCGTAACTGTCTTTCTCTAAATTAATAATGGAAATTGAAATAAGAATATTATTAGTAATAATAATTGTATTATCACAAGTTTTGCACCGTATAGTGGAACGTATTTGATGCTTAACTAGATTTTTTTATATAATCATATTTTTCACAAATAGCTATGAGAAATTTAGATCTTGTTTTATACAGCTAGAAAAATTATCTCCTAAATCTTGTCGTACTGTGAATGTATTCAAATCAGATATTCCGTTTTCATATCGATTCATTAATATACCTAAAACATTTAATTTATCACACTCAAAAATTTGTTTTTTAATAACATTTAAATGCAAAAGACATTGCGAAACTGCATTTGCGTAAGATGAAATTTTATCCTTATTTTAGAACCCATGTATTACCCAAACAGTATTTTTTTGAACTGTTTCATGTGATTCTTGAACAGAAGAAATAACTTTTAGTAATGTCCATAAAGTATCTTTTATTTTAGTATATTTTTGTTTCGAAATAATAATCAATTTCGCTTTTGATATGTTATGTTATATGTTATTTATGTTATTTTATGTTATATGTTTTTTTATGTTATTTATGTTTAATTAATTTATGTTTAATATAATAATTTGTTAATAATTGTTAATAAATGTTAATAATTTGTTGTCAATAATCTAATAATATAATAAAAATTTAATAATTTAATTTGTTGTAAAAATCTAATTCTATTTCTATTTCTATTTCTATTTCTTACTCTATTTCAATGTATTATATATTATTACAATATTACTTATTATTATATGTGACACGTTATATCTTCTTTTTTATTAAATTTTTTTATTATTCAATTTTATTATTCAATACGTACAACTTCACACGAAGGACATCTGTCAAAGACATATCAATAAAAAAAATGAGTGCTGCAAGAGCTGTCATACAGAGACGTTTATTAGCGCTTCTTGCGACAGAAAAGTCACGACGATGTTTCTTAAATTTACCAATTTGAACTTTGCGTCACGATTGCGTCGCGATATCTTAGTTTGTAGAACACGGAGAAAAATAATAAAAACACTTTTCTTATATAATTTGATACTCAATTATCGATTAAGCATAATTAAAATTTAATCAATCATCAGTAGTCATTGCTGAGAATGTAAACCGAATTCATCCCGGGGTCTCGCGTAAATAGAGCCACGGGTGTCTCGCCGCCGTTCTACGCGAACTTCGCGTGAACTTGGCAAACTCGAGACACCATCCGTGTCTCTTGATAGTAATGAATTTTTTGACAGCTATCATATGGTACAATATGTCGTTATTGAACAGATATTTTATGATGTTATGTTGCTATATTAATTGTGTAATATACAAATAAGTTCCGAAAAGAAATAATTTCTTAATAAGAACAGAAATAATTTCTTAATAAGAATGTCATTGTATATTTTTGTGATATTTTTGTATATTCTCGATGTAAGAGGACCCTTTACCATTTGTCATATCACCATGTCTGAGTGCGCGAAATATCAGCTCTGTGATTAGTGAACTTTAATCACCAATAATTTAAAAACTATTATAGCCTCGACATTTTCATATTAGAATTTTTGAATGTTTTAAAGAATCTATTCTTAAAAGGAAATGCATCAGTTTTTGGGATACTATATATAAAATCATATTGTTAAAAATTTTATCAATTTTATCATAAAATAATTTTATATAAATAACTAATTTAAATTTTTATAAAATTATATTTTACAGGAACTGATTCCAGAGTTGGCCTAGGTTTTCGTCTTGGAGAACATGCAGATTTTCAGATTATCTTTGAATTAGGTATGTGTGAAAATAACATAATATTTTTTGAATTTTCATTAACAATCCTTAATTGTGCTATGCTTCTATCGAACAATATTATGAACTATAGTTTTGTATTATATTTATATTGTATATGTATTTACTAATGTTCTTAGAGTTTTAATTAATTATACATTAACAAAATAATATCAATCAGGAGACACGATAATGTCTCGGG